CATCCTTGGGATGCCCACAGACCTGGGGAATCGCTTTCCCCAAAGTCCCTTTGTCAGTTCCTACCAAGTCCCTTTCTGCCCCTGGCCGTGTTTGCCAACACTGCCACTGGGTCGAGGCCCACAAGCCCGACCACTAAGTCCCATGGTCCTCTGGGACTTCCTCACCACACGACTGTGTCCTTGGTCACTACCCCAGAGGACTGCTCCTCTTCCTTTCCATAGTCTAGGCCTTTGGGACAACATTTCGGAACACCGTGGCCTTATGCGAGCCACCTAGGTACTCTCCCCGCCTTTCGCCTTTAGGTGCTCTAGCCATGGGCTTAGAGAGAGGTTTCATTGCGCCACGCCTGGTATCCAAGTAGGTAGTGCCACCCACACTTGGATTGGGAGCATTGGCCAGTCGATCTCCCGGGGGAACTAGAGCCAGCTCTTGAACACTTCACCAAGCTACCCCACTTGTTGGTCCGTATTCACTCTAGTCTTGGACTTCCCAGTGGTCAGTTCATCACCCAACACTGGGTCTGGCCTTCCTGGGCCAAACTGGCCTTTCCTGGCCAAACTGGCTCCACTGCAGTCCTCCCCCTTACTATACTTTTGGAGCTCACCAAACCCCCCAGGGTCTGGGAAACGAACGCTTTGGGCTTTCACCCTCTCAGACTCAAACTCGGACTCGGACTTGGACTCGGACTCGGACTCGGACTCGGACTCGGACTTGGACTCGGACTTGGACTCGGACTCGGACTCGGACTCGGGCTCGGGCTCTGTCTCAGCCTTGGCCTCGGTCTCGGTCTCGGTCCCGGTCTCGGTCCCGGTCTCGGTCTTGGTCTCGGTCTCGGTCCCGGTCTCGGTCTCGACCTCGGACTCCATCTCGGACTCCATCTCGGGCTCCGTCTTGGTCCATCTCGGACTCCGTCTCGGCCCATCTCGGACTCCATCTCGGGTCCATCTCGGACTCCGTCTCGGTCCATCTCGGACTCCATCTCGGGTCCATCTCGGGTCCATCTCGGACTCCATCTTGGACTCCATCTCGGTCCACCTCGGACTCCACTACGGGTCCATCTCGGACTCCATATTGGACTCCATCTCGGACTCCACTTCGGACTCCATATCGGACTCCACTTCGGGTCCATCTCGGACTCCACTACGGGTCCATCTCGGACTCCATATCGGACTCCATCTTGGACTCCACTTCGGACTCCATATCGGACTCCACTTCGGGTCCATCTCGGACTCCAACTAGGGTCCATCTCGGACTCCATCTTGGACACTTCCACGTGTTATGTGTTGGTCCTTTTTGGGTCCCTTTTTGGAACCTCGCTTATTGCTCGCTTCGTGCTTGTTCCTTGAGCACTTTGTTAGGAGTTCCACTCCCACTCTCGACCTTTCAAGTCGGAGCTTTTACTCCAAATGTGTTATGCTCGTTTGGTTTTCACTTTGGCCACTACCACGTGGCACCATTTCCAGCTCCACTTTGGGGCCTAGGGATTTTGTGTCTCACATCACCAGGATCTATGTAAGGAGTTATGAAATGAAAGGACCCTCTCTATTGAAATGTGTTTATGGTCCTAGGGGCATTGTGACATATCAAAGGATTTTGCATCAAGTTCTGTATTTGCATGTTTATCAAGCTACTGAATTGCTAAACCCTAAACCCTAAATCCTAAACATGTGGCAAATGCTGCATGAAGAAAGATGCCCTTTCTGGGCAAATGCTGTAAGAGGCAGATGCCGAGCAGATGTATCTCAGGCTAGCGAAGGGGACAAACGAAAGCTAGCTATAAACATGACGGGATGCAAATAGATTACTAGGCTGGTCCTGCGAAAATCAAAAACCATAATTGAAAACATTGAAAATGCAAAAAGAAAGGTTTATAATATTTTTGAATTTTAAGCAACCAAAGGAATGTAAGTAGGGCATGTGTTTGTAAGTTTAAAAATGCCTCAACCACTTAAATTCCCAAGTAAATAAAGCTGTTTCTATTTTTGGTACAGGTAAACTTTATACCGTGTGGGCTCATGCAATTTTGAACCCAAAAATGCACCAAAAAATGCTCGACTAGCATTATTCTTTGAATGGCGTGTGGCCTTATATTGCCATAAATGGACGTACACACACAGCATAATTATTCCTTTACACGGCGAATAATCTTGGCGCGGATCGCTGACATGGCATGGCAAAGTTCGAATCACTAACATGGCACAGCTGGATCGAGGCAAGGACATGATGTGACAAAGTTCAACCTCCGACAGCAAAGTCTAGAAGCTACTCAGTTTGAAATTTGTCAGAGGAATCATAAGATCTGGTTTGTCAGAGGATTTGATGTGACGTTCAAGCGTGTGTTATTTTTGAATTCTCGAACTCATTCCTAGGTCTATCATTTTTGTGCGCCGTGTTCTTGGTTCCGCTGAGCGCAGTGAGCGCTGCTTGTGTAAGCGGCGTTGTGAGCTGTGGTTTATGCGTCTACAAGCGGTTGCGGCATTGCGAGCGCCATTGCGAGCAGCAGTTTATGCGAGTGGCAGTTTGTGCGAGCGGCGCTACGAGCAGTTGCGGTGTTGCGAGCGGCGCTACGAGTAGTTGCGGTGTTGCAAGCGGCACTGTCTTTGGTGTGGCTACCGCTTCCTCTTGATATTCGGCACTTGTGCTTCCTGGTATGTTCACCATGGAATGGCTTAGGACCACGTGCCAAAGATAGCATGAGGCCTCATGCCATTAGTGGTACCACTAATGGCATGAGGGCTCATGCCAATTTTGTGAATGCGAAATTCACGTGGGTGTCAATAGCATGTTTGAATAATGGCATGTGGCCTCATGCTATTGAGGTTGTTTGGTATGTTATGATTTAGGCCATTCTCCAATAATTTTTTATATGGTCTTAACTTCTTTTCTAAACTTTCAGAATGGCCTCCGCAAGTGCGACGCATGTTCCCTCCGTGGATCTTAAAAACCGTGCTACATGGATTCAGGCAAAGGTGTTTCTAAACAACCCCGAGGGGGAGGTGGTAGCTGAGGGCTTAGCCACAGTTGTCGATCCAAGAGATGCGGTTGCTAATGTAACTGTGGAGTGGTTCAAGCCAAGTTCCGGATATACAAAGGATTGCTTAGAAAAGAGATGGGTGCTGAATCCAAGGGATCCCAGCATGAGCATATCGGTGGATAATGTTGTGCATGGTTGGATGCGGAAGCAGAGTGCCACCATCACCTTGCCAGACCATGCAAAAGATGCAGCAAGAGCATTCATAACCCGGGTTCAAGGTGAGATTCATTAATATTCCTTTACTAAGTTTCTAATGTATTTTATTTCAAGGTGAACAATCCGAATCTGAATCAAAGGAGGTGTGATGGCATGTGGCCTTACGCCATTCCTAAGTGAGATGATACAAATAACAAGTATAAATTCTTAGTTGTTCTAGCAAATCTTACTTAAAGTTCAAGGTGAACAAGCCGAATATGAATTTATCGGATTGTTATAACAAATTGCGAGGTGATGGCATGAGGTGATACGCCATTTGAGAGTGGTAGCCATTCCTATATGAGGTGAGTGAAATATTTATTAGAAATACCTCATTCAATTGTGCACTTCTAAGTCTTGGTCCACTCAGTACTGTTTGCATGTTTCTATTTTAATTCTTTCTCTAAAATGTTATTTAGCATGTGGCTTCATGCCATTGCTCTCCACAATCATGCATTGAATTTTTCTATCCTTGCATAATACTTCTCCATATATATAGCATGTGCGCACATGTGATATGGTTCATTAGGCCTGATATAGTGTGTGAGGTAAAACAAAGATGATGTGACATATGCATTTACCAATCACATGTGCATAAATCTAATAATATGGCATGTGGCCCATATTAATGGCACATAAACCCATATTGTGGGCTTACGTGCTTTATGTACCATCATTCCCTTGCAGCGTGTGTGTTGGTTTCCTTTTATAACACAACGAACTCCATATTTTAGGGTGAAGAGCGTTCTCATGGCAAGCACAAAATCTGTAAGTGAGGCAGAAAAGGAGACGGAGAAGGAGATAGGTGAAGATGTAGAATATATAAGTCTTCCAAACTCCCCGTACTATACTCCAGGTGATCATTTTTCTGAACAAACGGCAACATTAACAACTATCAAGAACGCCCCAGTAACGTCAGAGACAACAATCCAAAGCAAAACAACTGACCTGGAGAAGGATGATAGTACCGCTGAGAGTACCAAAAAGGAGGTGTCCACTAGCGCTTGTGTGCCCTCATGCCATTTACTTGATCACCAAACACCTTTTTCCCTTTGCACTAGTATATCTTAATACCGGTCTGAGAAATAGAATGGCATGTGCTCTCAGGCCTTTTACTAAATCACCTTTGAAAGAAATGCAAGCCTCTATGTCGTAAAAAAAAGGTACTAGAGAAATTCCTTAATAATATGAATGTTATTTAGTTTCATGAAAATACACTAAGGGTCAAATGAGTTAAATGACTTCTCCAGACTAGCAATGCCTCTTGCTACACCTTCACAATTAGATTCATTAGAAAAAGATAACATTGAATAATATCTAAATGTTCTCACCATTAAGTTATATGTCTGGCTAATAGGAATGACATTCATCTTGGAAAGCTCACCACACGCTCAATGAACAAACAAATAGTGTGTGCGCGCATGCCATCGCTCTTCTTTAGCTTCAGATTCGGCTTGTTCACCTTGACAATGAGATTTATTATACAACCAGATGGACTCAGTCTGGACACAAAGTCACCGCGCTAGTCACCATGCCCCAGATATGTCTAGCCCCTGGACAAAAAACATATAATTTCACGTCATTTTTAAATACTTGAAAATTTGTACCTAGTCCCATTTTACTGAATAAATCCCACTTTAACGAAATAAAGCTTTTCACCAAAACATGGCAGCCATGCTTTTTGCCACTCCTCAAGCCTCTCGAGCTTCCCCTTGTCCCGGAGGATAGCATGGTGAAGCCGTATTGCCGCCAGTGTAAGTCTCCACCACTCTACCAGTACCTGTGATACTCTAAGCTGTGTCCCATCGAAGTGCACCCGGTTATGTGCTTCCCAAAGGGCCTGGACTCCCGTCGCACGCCATATCGCCCATCGAGCATGGCCAAGCGCCTCCCAAACGGGGACTCTATCTCCACCCCGATCACGTCCCACTGGACCTGGATCCCCCAGCCGTGTCGTCCTCTACACCTGATGTGTCGCAAGGCTGGGCCCTGGGCAGGACCCCTTGCTGCCTCGAACCAGTGGAGCACATCTCCACTGCGGGCTTCGAAATCCTGTGTCACACCCAGCTCCTTCCCTGCCTTAATAATCTGGCGCCACACCTCCTTTGCAGTGTCGCACTCCCACAGCGCATGCTTGACTGTCTCGATTTCGCCACACTCCTTGCATCTGCGACTCGTGTCATCCTGGAATCGCTGTCCAACCGGGAGCCCATTGTTCGCTACCAACCACGAGGTGACTTTCACTTTTTCCTGCACGGGCAGCTTCCAGAAGTGAATTGTGTTGTCCACCACTTGCTCTACGTCAACCCCCTGTGCTATCCACTTCTGCCATAGCTTCGGAATCTCCTCTCTTGCCTCCTCTCGCGATGTCAGTAGTCCATTCCGAGCTTCCTTGATTGCATAGGAGAAAAAGCTTCCCGTCCCTCGTCGCCATGCGGCAGGGTCCCAGTCCAGATCTTCTAGTAGCTGCTGTCGCCACCATATCAGTGATCCATCGCCCTCTAGCAGGTCTTCTGATTCCACCACGTCCAGCCTCTTGGGTGACTGCCTAAGCACGCTGATCCTGCCACGTACCTCATCGTCCGTGACATCCGACATCTCTTGTTTCTCACCCATTGGGAGAAGTGTGTCTCCTCTCATGATGTGAAAAGGCCATCCTATGTTGTGCTCTGGTGCGGCGACAAACCACACCTCCACATCTCCTTCTTCCCATGCTAGTGTAGGTGCAGTGAATGCTCGAGTCCATGTCCCCAGCGGACGTCGCACTGTATCGTGTTCCTCCCACTCTGTTTGCCGCTGGATTGCCACAAAGTCCCCTGCTTGAAGGCATCTTCTCGGCCACTTCGTCCCTGCTTTCGTGTCATTCACCACTCGAAGAAGTCACAGAACGTCCAGCAGGATGTTGCGTCGCTTCCAAGGTCCAAACACTTGAGTTCTTCTCGTTGTTCACCACCAGTCCCGGTCAACCACTCCCACCAGTTGCTTCATTGTCCGGAATCCGTTTGCATGCATTTTCCTCCAGATCGTGTGGTGTGCCTCTCGTCCCAGTGTCACACCTCCCACCTTGAACAGTGTGTTGAAAAATAGAGGCTGGTTAAGCCACTCCTCGGCCCTGGTTGGTGGTGTTTGCTCCAGCGAAAAGGCTCTCCACAGTCGGTGGAGGCTTTGGATGAAGTTGCCCCCTTTCACTACCTACGTCGGACCTTCTGTGAAGAGCCACCGTGGGTCCTCCTCTCACGGTTTGGCTGCATTGTGTTTGGGCCGAATCGCTAGGAGGCTCTGCTAGAACATGAGTCGCCACGGCTGTCTCCCCTGTTGCAAGCCCATGAGAAAAATCTTATACCTCATCGCCTTTGCCATGTCACTGGGGTCAATGATCCCAAGCCCCCCTAGAATGCGCGGCCTCGCTGTAGATTGCCACGCCACCTTGGCCATGGTTTGCCCTGTAGCCAATGCTCCCCGCCACATGTAAGTTCGCACCATCTGTCTCACCTTCTGCAGTGTAGTTTCCAGCACCGGCCAAATTGAGAGGTGGTACCAGATGCTGGGGAGGATCACGCTCTTGACCACTATGATCCGAGCTGGGAGTCCGAGTTTCCTCGGTGTCCATTTCTGAACTGCAGCCTGGATCCTCCTGAGAAGCGTGTCGTCCTGCGTAGCCGCACTGTATTGGACCCCAACCTGGATGCCGAGGTACCGGGTGTCTTCGCCAGGGCGAAGCCACTGAAAGCCTATCTCCTGTCCCCAGGCCTCGATGCCTGGCTTTCCCCAGTTCACGCCTACTGACTTGTTCCAATTTATGGCTGCCCCTGCTGCCATGTTGAAGATCTCCAGCTTGGATTTTGCTGCGTCCAGGTTCCCCGGGGTGGCAAGTAGGAAGAGTGCGGTGTCATCTGCAAATGCCCCGTCTTGCAGCTCTTGCGTCACAGCTTGAGTTCCCGGGAGTTGTAGCCGTTCAGAGGGCAGCACCAAGCCTTTTATATCCCCTCCATGTGTGAGGAAAGAGCCCAGTGTCTCTGCTACTATCAGGAACAGGTAGGGGGCAAGTGGACATCCCTGCCTCACTGAGCGTCCCAAGTGGAAGGTCGGGCCTATCTCTCCATTTAGTGTGACCCGGCTTGCAGCTCCCCTATATAGCAGTGAGATACACGAGATAGTCCTTGCTGGGATCCCTATCTTCCACATGCAATCCTCCAAGAAGTCCCAATCGACTCGATCGTAGGCCTTCTCAAAGTCTAGTAGCCACGCTACAATCTGTTGATTTGAGACGTTTGCCCACCTCTGTGCTAGGAGGTACGTCCATATGTTTTCTGCAATCTGTCGTCTCGGCACGAATCTAGTCTGTTGTTCTCTGATGATGAGGGGCATGACTGGCTGCAGCTTGAGTGCCATCACCTTTGCATATATCTTGTACGACGTGTTGAGCATGGTTATGGAGCGCCAGTTCCTGAGTTCCTAGAGGTCACCCCGTTTTGGGATCAATGCGATTTCTCCCTCTAGTATCTTTCCTGGAAGCACCCCTGTTTGTTGTGCGTCTCGCCATGTCTCCAAGAGCATCAGGCCAACGTCGTCCCAATACTCCTCATAGAATGCTAGGAAGAGGCCGTCACGTGGCACCCTTTCGGCTCCACTTTGGGGCCTAGGGATTTGTGTCTCACACCATCTTTAGTACCAAGAGTTAGTTTTTAGGACAAGTGTGAAACTTACTAAATATGAAATGGCATTAGATTGTGAATTTGGATATGGGACTAACACTATTATGTTTAGGACAATCTCTACATTCCGTAGATATACCAAATTAGCAAATATAGACACTTTTTATAAATAGCTATTAGGACCAAATGGGACCAACACAAGGGGCATGATAGCGAGAGTGTTTGATAGATATGGTAAGTTATCATTTAGCAATATTGAGGGATTAATTTCAATATGCAAAGGTTTTTGTTACTAACCAGTGCAAGACACAATAAAACAGGAACTCCTTACCAGGCTAAGTATGCTTAGCACATAGGAATTCTATCTTTATGTTTGTCTAGTCTAAGTACACTCGAAATGCTTAGTTAATTCCACTAACACAAGATGGACTGATAAAGGGTCTAGCAATATCAACCTCCTATTGTCATGATAGCAAGGAAAGAAGATTTTAAAGACTAGCTAGCAAGTAACTTTTGATACCACAATCATATTCATGACACCCCACTTATTCATCTATGTTCACTCTAGCTTTGAACTCCCTAGTGTTTATATCATCATCCACCAAGTGAACATAGCCTTCTTTGGTCACACTAGTTCCTCTAGAGTCCTCCTCTTACTATCACATAGGGACTTATGAAACCCCCTAGGGTTTGAGAGAGGATTGCTTTGGGCTTTCACCCTTAAACATGGATTTAGTTTCAGACTCAAACTCAAACTTAGTCTTGGCCTTGGTCTCAATCATAGTCACAGTCTAGAACTTGCTCTTGGTCTCGCTCTTGAACTTGCTCTGAGACTCAATCTTGCACTTGACTTCTATGTGTCACGACATTTACCATGTGTTAGTCATTTTCTTATCCCTTTCTAGAGACTTGGTTATTAATTACTTTGTTCCTCAAGTATTTCTTTAGGAGTTCCACTCTTGCTTTCGACTTTCCGAGTTATAGCTTTTGATCTACATTGGCCACTACTATATGGCTAATCTTCAGCTCTACTTTAGGACTCTGTTTTATACTTGTAGCGCACGTGGTTTGGACCCTTTATCCTATGGTGATTTACCATAGGATAACACCACGAAGTGGAACCTAAACCCTCTTTGTGCCACGTGACAGATGCCACGTGTCACATGCCACGTGTCCATGCCACGTGTCCTTAGGAACCCGAGGTTCAGGGCCTTGGTGACGCCAAGGAGTGATGAAACCGGACCACGGAGCAACTCCCGAGCATATAGCCCAAGGAGCGAAGGGACAGGGGCCCGGAGCGACTTGGAACAGTCCTAGAGCAACCAGCATCCCAATGCCAAGACCAGCACGCAAAACGGAGCCAAACAGAGTTTGGCACTATTTCGGCATACCGGTGGCCTAACGCGAGGATATAGGTACTCCACCAACTAGCATGGAATGGAACTTGGGCTTAGACCCAAGCCGGACGCAGAACAAGGACAGGCACGCAAGCGGGAGCTAGACTATGCCTCAGGTTGGTCGGCCATGCCCGACCTACCCACTATCCCTACTATACATTTGGAACCCCCCACAGCCCCCCCCCCCCTTGAGGAACACACGCTTTGGGCTTTCACCCCAAGCCTCCCTTAGTACTAGGAGTTAGTCTCTGGGACAAGCTCGAAACTTACTAAATATGGAATGTCCTTAGATTGCGAATTTGGACACGGGACGAACACCATTGTGTTCAGGCCGATCTCTACATTCCGTAGATATGCTAAATGAGCAAATCTGGACACTTTCCATAAATAGCATTTGGGACGAATTGAGACTAACACCAAGGGCATGATAGCGAGGGTGTTTGGCAGACACGGTAAGCTATCATCTAGCGATGTTGAGGGACCAAGCTCAATATCGCGGGGGTTCCCAACACTAGCAAGTGCAAGTCAACGAATGAGTTTCTCTAACCAGGTCAAGTATGCTTGACTAAATAGACACTTAGGAATTCCTTCCTTATGCTCATCTGGTCAAGTGCACACGCGAGGACCAGTTTCTCAACTAGCTTAGGCGGAGACTGATAACGGGTCCAGCAATACCGACCTCCTGCCGTCGTGGCAGTAAGGTAAGAATATCCGAAAGGACTAGCCGACAGGTAACTTTCGATACCTGAAGTCACATTCGCGACACTCTCCCCCCCTTGGGAAGATCGACGTCCTCGTCGATGCATACTCCAGTCTAGAATACCGCCAAGGAAACAACTCCAGAAAAAGTTCACGGTACTCACACTATGTGAGAAATGCACCAACTTAAATGAGTGAGGGGGTAACCTCTTTGTCTAACGCGGATGCGCTACCAGCTCAGACACCTTCCGGCCGTCACCGACAAGGAAATGACCAACGGAGTCAGCCACCCCTGCTGCTCTGGGAGTCACCCAGCTTACAAAAGTGTGATATGCCCCTGCCCGCAGGGACATAGAGAGAGAAGCCAGAGGCCCCAACCCTCCTAAGCAAAGAAACCAAACCCGTCGGTAAGGTTTAGATAGGCTACTGTAAACAGGCAGGTAGAGTTGTTTACACGGTCACGCCCTTTCACAGAATAAGGAACATCGACAGAGAGGCGGGTTATGTGACCAGTCGACAGTAGCTACCCCATGACTAGAGATTTCACCATGCACACGAAGTGCCGAAGCCAGTCTGCCTATACTGGCCCAAACGCAAAGATCAATGGATGGACAATATCAAAGTCAGAGACAATGATATCTGAGAAGCTTAATTACTAGTGATTATATCTTAGAGTAGAACACAAAAGTATTCTAAACAAGTTATCATCCGATAAACCAGTAGTATTGTAGATAGGAACCACCAAGATCACTATCATTGGAAAACATAGGATGCACCATCCAACAAAATTCAATAGCAAGTATATCATCAAGTAAACTCAATGATGAAACTGAACTACCGAAAATGGCAGATAGCATGCCAAACAACTCACAAAACACAACTCAAAGAACACAAAGTATTATTGACTAACAAGCACAATGCTCGCGAATGTATCACCTAAAGGAAATAACATCCAAATCTATCAAAACTAACTCGAGCAATAATCAACAGAAGAGAATAAATGTGGGAAGACCAACAAACACTCATGCTTGCTAACTATCACAAAAGCCAATCTGAATAGATCCCAGCCAACAATACCAAGGAACTCTAGTTGCCTAAGCAAGTGTTAGCAACATCCTACTGATGTTTCAAACCCAAGAAACCAATCCAGAGCAAACCACAAAGAACATGTGGTATTGCAAAAAGCCATAAGCCATCAAAGAGAACAACTAACTATCATGAAAGATCATCAATCATTCCATCAATAAAGAGATGCATAATCATCATTGAAGAAAGAATCCACCATCCCGAACAATGGCAAATCATTTTAGATCAACGATAATCAAGCAAAACCTTCGACAAGGATAATCAACTTTCCTAGATGATAGTCAATCATCACCAATGATTGCTAGATGCAAAAGCCAACTTCAACATTAAAGCTAATGAGCCAAAATGCCTTCCCCAACAACTTCAAACCAATGGAACAATGAGCATAAAACTCAAAGAACCAAAGCTCGAAGAAACTTATAGCTAAGTCTTGCCTAATAATGATCACGAGTCTCATAGAAGCAAATTTCAATGCTAAAGAAGAAATCATGGTGCAACCCATAATGTCTTCTTCAACACATCCATAAACCATCCAAACTTCATAATGCCAAAGCTAATGAAGAGCATTTCTGCATCAATCCAAAAGCCAAGCATAACGAAGCTATGCCCGACAAGTGATCACTAAACGATCCTCCATGAATCCATCTATAGCAAGACGTAACTCACTTCATAACAAGCACAAGAAGAATCACCAATGATCGATATATTCCAACTCAAACCCAATAAGGATTCAAACTTTCCAATATCGATCACTAACTCTTCCACTTGTAGAGTTAGCATAGTCCATGACTTAATCACTTTTCAAGGAAAAGCCAGAACTCAACCTCTACTAAACAATCTCGTCTAGAACACAACTAACCCAACTTGCCACTTAGTTTATTTGAACGTCAATACAGTTGCTAACTAGCAAATGCACGAATGCTAATAACACAAAGCTACAACCAAATCATCAACACTATCTCTATTGAGACTAATGAAACTCAATATCAATCATAAGGATAGACATCTCATCTCACTTGAATCCCAACATCAATAATATCAATGACAAGGCATCATTTCAATGCCATTAACACTATAACAAAACTAGAAGAAAGCAAGAGTGAATCACCACTCAAAACTCTCTAACAACTAAGCTAACCAAGGTCAAAGATACTTAATTTAGTATCCGAGACTAATCCTTCAACAATACTCAGCTACAGATAACACTTCCTCAAGGAGTGAATCACCACATCCAAGACTCCATGAAATCCAATACTATGAACTAAATGCAACCAAATGATATAAACAAAGATAGAGTCGACATGCCAACATGGAAAACCCATGTAAGCCTAACGACACGATCCTCCGCAACACCATCCGGTAAAGCAAGCCCATCACTGCTAAATCATCATCGAGCAAAGCAAGTATCAACAGTCTTTTTGACAAAGTCTACAAGTAATCACTAGTCGCAAAGCAACTAACAATCACCCTTCAACTTGCCTTCACAAGACCCAAACACTAACTCATGTCATCGAGTTACATACTTGTCCAACATGAACATAATACCCCAGGTATGAGATAAAAGTTCATAGACAAGCACAAACTAAATGAC